AGTTTAATCTGTAGGAGAAAGGTGGCCTCTCTGTCAGGCTGATCTATTAGGTACAATCCCTAGGATACTTGCAGGATTTTGTAAATTACTATCTGTCTTCCACATCACCATCCCAATTATTATTTTGCAAACTCCCGCTCGGTGGGGGAGACGTGGAAAGGATGGGCAGAGATGAGGGAAGAGCGCTCTTCGTAAAGGGGTCTTTCAGTTGGTTAGGTATCAACTTGGAGCCTGTTAAAATGTCACCATTACCAGTCATTGATCCTAGTATTTAACTAGTCATGCCCAACTAAATTCTCCTTAAGTTTCTCAGGCTTTCTCTACAGGTCTAAACCAGGTCTCCACCTGACACACACAACCTTCAGTGAATTAAAAGGGATTTAATGCACAATTGGTAAATGACGTGCTTTTTAAAAAAAGTATAAACACACAACAGTCCCAATTTGATCCTTGTTTCATTTTACAGAGATGTTTTTCCTCAAAATCCAGGTGTGTTGGGACTCAATTTCTCAGAATTCAGATCAATGTTCCCTCCAAACAGTCCCAATGGCAAAAATGTGGTCCAAAATGGCTATTTTTTTCTTCTTCTGAATGCAACGTCAAGTTTGCATCTTTGCGGAGGAAATCCTATCTCCTTGTAAGAGCTTCACAGTCGTTTTTCAGATTTTTCCCACTAAAGGGAGATACACAACAAGGAAATTGCGGGGCCTATCATTTTGTTTTAGCGATTCAAGGTGAGTAGATAACCCTATCAGCAGACTTTGTGGCCTGAACTGCATTTTCCCATCTCCAATTTCAAAGGAAAAAAGAGAGACGTTAAAGCAAAATAGAAAGAAGGAAACATCCAGACAAAAGACTGCCTGTTCAGCAAGGACTTTAACCCCGAATAATTGCAAATTCTTCAGCCCGTTCTCAAGATTAGGAAGCATCAGTTTGCTTAAGGAAAAGAAACTTTTCTCCGTGGGAAAAAATGCTAAAACAACAACCATAATAAAGTTTTATTTCTCTCACAATCCAAAACTTGGCATTTTTTCAAGCTATGTTTGGGAGGGTCCAAGAGAGAAGAGCGTTTCAGTTCCCAGCCAAGTTCAGATATGGTTGCATCTGGTGATAAACGCAGTGGACTGGGCTCACCCCAGGGCACTTTGTACCTGGGCAACTGTGAAAACTCTAATGAATTTATGACATGATATTGGGCATATGTGGAAAGAACACAGGGCAAGGTCACAAGAATTGCCCACTGTGGCTGATAAGGCTGTTTTTATGGCTTCGTTTTATGGCAGTGTACACCCAGCCAATTACGGCTCAAATATGGTTTAAGCAGAAAATAGATTCTGCTCTTCCATTTCCTTAATTGGATCCATCGTTTTTTCTCTGAATATCTTCCTGGTCATCCTGTACCCTTTTGCAAGCTTCATGGGATGATCCCTTGGCTTTAGAATCTGTTGACAAGGAGATCCCAGGTCTGTCCAAGGGGGGGGGGGG